CCCTTCTTCCTGGGAAGCCCTGCTCGTCCTGGCACAGAGGCCTCTTCCCGCCCTGCCACGGAAGGGGCCGTGCTTGTCGCAGGGCATGAGTCTTGTCATACATGGGAGCACTGACGGGGAGAGAACATGCCCATAGGGAAATGTGTCCTTGTGCCTGGGCGTGTATTTACCAGTATTTACAGGAAATTCCTGCTCTGCTGTTCTGAGACTGGTGTTTCCACCCACCCTTGGGCTACGTGATTCCTCTTGTGAGGTGTGTTCTACAGTGTCCCCACATCCATGCGGTGGGACATAGTGTCCCCATATCCATTAGGTGGGACATAGTGACCGTGGCCTTCTTTGGGAACAGGGCCTTTGCAGATGTAATCACGTTCACAGGAGGCCTTGGGTGTTGGATGGGTCCTCACTGCAGTGGCAGGTGTCCTTGTAAGAGGGAAATTAGACTCCTTCCCAGAGAGGAGGTCATGTGACTTGGATGCAGAGATGGGTGGGGAGGAAGGGTCTCCAAGCCAAGGAACCAAGGACAGCTGGCAGCACCAGAAGCTGGGGGAGATTTCCCTTGCAACCCCAGAAGGACCAGCCTTGCCCTCACCCTGATTCCGGGAGTGAGTGTTTCACAGGCAGCGTGGGGAACTCTGGTCCCTGCCCACCTGCCCACTCACTGTCCCCTCAGCTCCTGGAGAGAAGCCACAGGAGAGGAAGGGACTTCCAGCTGCAGCCCCCAGTCTAGGGGTGAGGAGCAGGAGGAGGGGGGGCCTGGGCACCTCCCATCCTGGGCCCTGACAGGTGGGCCAGGGCTGGTATCTGCCAGAGGGCTGAGGGCCTGTGTGCAGGGCTGTGCCAGGGAGACTCAAGAGCAGGCCTGACAAAGTTGGTCTTTCATTTGTTCCACCTCCTCCAGTGCTGCGTGTGGATACTCAGCACTGTCACTACCCCACCCAGGTCTCTGGAGGGTCTCCCTTCTGTCTCAGATCCTGGAGCCCATGCCTGTCTCTCACCCAGTGATTTCCCTGGTGCTCATTGGGAAGAGGGAGTCAGTCTCCCTTTCTGTCAGCACATGTAACAAATGAAATAAATCCGTTTATTCCCACGGGGTGTTGGGAAGGGGTCTGGCCCACAGTAGCTGCTTAGTGAATGGATGTCAGTGCCCTCCCCACATTCAGCGCAGTTGGTGGACAGGAACTTCTGCTTCTCTGGACCTGGTGAAAGGGCTGGTTGCAAACATACAACATCCCATGAATGACACAGAGTCTGATGGGTGTGCAACAGAACAAGTGGTAGGGCCAGGTGCTGGTGTGCACGCATGTATGCATGAGTGTGTGTGTGTAGGAGTATGTGTGTGTGTGTTTTGAAGATGTGCCAGTGTTTCACAGGTTATCATCTAGAAAAAGCTTAGGGAAAAATGTATAAATATGTTTTTATATTAACAGATTTTGCCAAATTTCCAACCCCATTCTGTGCCAGCTCACACTCAGATTGAGCGCCTGCTCCTCATCCCCCGCCTTCACTGACTCCTTTCTGGGTTTCCATCCTTGCCCAGCTAATAGGTGACAGGTCAGCATGGAGATGCCCTGTGAGAGGGGATGGGGGTGGGGGCCTTAGGCTGCCAGGTCACCCGACCCTCTTCTCCAGCTCCCTTCACGAGCCGGCCACCGAGCCACAACCCAGCTGTCTTCCCTGGCCTCCACCCCACTGAGCCTGGCGGAGAACATTCGGCAGACCCTGGGAGCCGCCAGCTCTTCTCCCATCCTGACTGTGGGTCCTCTTTGGCGCATGTGCTGGCAGAGGCCTCTCTCTCACCCTTGCTGGCCCCTTCCGCTCAGCCACCTGGCCAGGCAGTGCCCTGGCTGTGCTGGAGCCAGCCTGTGCTGGCTTGGGTGAGCCCATGGGAATTCCCAGGACTTCACCAGCCAGGTGTTCACTCAGCCCTGACTGAAAAGTAACTTATGTGAACTTGGGATTAAATAATTTATATAAAAACCAAGGGCAATACCCCTGGCCAGTGTCGCTCAGTGAGTTGGGCATTGATTGTCCTGTGCACCAAAAGGTCATCAGTTCCATTCCCAGTGAGGGCACAAGCCCAGGTGGTGTGTTTGATCCCTGGTAGGGGAAGGTGGGGGTTGCAACTGATCAATGTCTCTCTCTCACCTCTCACTCCCCATTCCTCGTCTTAAAATAAATAAAAACATTTTAAACGAACAAAGGCAATAAATACTCCAAACGTGCCACTTGTAATTGTTTTCCTGTTACCTACGCTCTTGGGTTATTCACACCTACAGTATCAGCATGATGCATCTATTCCCATCTTGGTGGTGAGGGACTCCAGGTTGGCAGTTAGAAATTGCTTGTGGTGAAAGTATTTACACCAGGGAAATTGGCAAATGTTACCAAATCAGGGCTTGATTTGTTTTCTTTAGTGTCTACTGAATCTAGACTTCAGAAAACAACGAAGAAAATGTTAATAGTAAAGATTAAATCTAAAAGTGGGTTTGGTGAATATTATGGTATGTAAATTGTATCTTTGTGTTTTTTTGTTTTTGTTTTTTTTCCCCCACCAGAACTAAGGAACTGCCCTGGCCGGTTTGTTCAGTGGATAGAGCGTTGTCCTGCAGACCAAAGGGTCCTGGTTCGATTCTGATCAAGGGCATGTACCTTGGTTGCGGGCTCCTCCAGCCTGGGCCTCTCATTGAGGTCCTATGGGTGGGCTTAATCCAACAGGACTGGGTCCTCAGTAGGAAAGGGAACACCTGGGCCCATGGTGTTCTGTTACGGTAGCCCGAGCAGACGAACACCCCCTTTCCTTGAGCCCATGTCCTCATCCATGATATCTCCCTCATGGGGCTGTGCAGATTCAGTAAAACCGCACAGGGGCATTGATGACAGCACCAGGCCCACCGAGGGCTGCGCATACGTAATGGCCCCTGTCCCGTGGCCCTGGGTCAGGCCCCACACCCGAGGTTGTCCCGTCACACCTCCCTTGGGGCAGAGGCATCCGGATGACAGGGGCCCCAGGTGGTCCCACCCCTCCTCATCTGGCCTCTCCTGATGATGGGTGGACCTCTGCCTTGGCTTAAGGATGGTGGGCCTATTGGCCTCAGGATGGTGGGCCTGGGGTACAGCCATGCATACACTGTATACACACACACACACACACATTTGTTCTGACAGTGGCCCCTCAGCCTGCTCGCTGGCTGGCTCTGTTCCCTTACGTGGGAGCTTAACACAATCCCCCCAGCCTAGGCTTGTGCCCAATCTGCCCCTGAATTCTGCCCCACTCCAAGCTAAGGCCCGCCCTGGGCAAGAGGGTGTTTGGGTCATGGACCTCCGTGACTTTCCCCACCAGGTCAGGTCTTGTTGGATGCAGTGGGCACCTCACCTTCCAGCTGGGGGCACCTGGCTGCGAAGGCAGTTCAGCCCGGGGCTATGGGACACCTGGAAGCTCAGGAAGGAGAGAGGGTCTGCATGGGAGAGGGGCACCCTGGGGTCCTGACTGGCTGTCCTCAGCTCTGGGTTTGCATATTCTCATGTCTGCTACACTGAACCCCAGCCTGGAATGTCCTCCAGGACTGGCTGTATCTGGCTGGAGCAAGCCCCCCCGTCTCACACAGGGCCGGCCCAGGGCCAGAGTCCTACAGGTGTTTGGCTGGAGGAGATGGTTGGTGCTCAGGAGTTTAATCCAGGTGGGTCCGGCCGACCTCCTTTGGGCACCCTGCTCATTGCCACATGAACTTCGTTTTGTTCTCTGATGTTTCCCAGGGCCTGACAGAGCAGGCACTCCGCAAATACACATTTTTAATTAATGCTGGGGACACACATGAATGGTCCAAACCTGGTGGAAAAGGCAGAAGCATCAACAGACAATGGTACTCTTGTGAGAGAGATGAGCCAAGGGGGCTGTGGGAATGTGGACAAGGTCTATCTGGCCAGTCTAAGAAACCAGAGGAGCCTTCCTGGAGAGGGTGGGCTTTGAAGGATGAATAGGAGCTTGACTGGGCAAAGACTTTAGGGAATGGGATTTCTGGGATAGGTGGCGAAAGCAGGAAGGTAAGAATCCAGAGTTGGGAAGGATGGGAACCAAGGATGGTGAGGAGGCAGGAGAGGACCGGGCTGATGGGCACACAGAGACCAGAGCTCTGAGGGCGGAGGCTACACAGCAAATTCTCAAAAGATAGGGCCCTCGGTGGAAAGGAGGGAGTCTTCTGAACCCCTCCTGGGGAGGGAGTTAGGCTGAGCGGAGTCCCAGCCCCTTGAGAAAAGGACGCCATTTTTAAAAGGGCTTTTTATTAAACTGTCCCCGCACAGCACCTCTTGCCACCATTGCCACCGTCCTGGTGTCCACCAGGGGAAGGGCCCCGTCAGTGTTCCTGAGTGGCCAGGGCTGGGCTCGTCCCTGGAGCAGTGGAGCTGCCCCTGTTTGGGGACCCAGTGCACGTCTGGCTGCTTCTGGAGGAGCTCAGAAGCTGCGGGAGAGACTGTCGGTGCTGACAGCTGAGGGCAGGCTCCGGTGCAGGGAGGGGGGCCTGTCTCTTCCACACACGCCCTGAGAAATACTCTTGAGATCCTGTGCGTCCAAAACACCCCAGCGCCACCCTGGGGCGCAGCGGAAACACTTCAGGCAGGGCGATGATGGCATGGGAAGGCAGGGCCTGTGTGTGAGAACAGGGCCCAGTCTTGAGTGCTTTTGGCTGCAGCTGGCTCGGAGCCCATTTCCCTTTCTGTCTAACAAGCAACCCCAGGGCTATGACTCTGCCTCAGGAAGCATGCTTGGCCACTGCCTCTTGTCATTTCCACAGCTGTCCTGCCCCGTTGGCTTCCGCATGCTCGGTGGGTTGCAAGCATGTATGACACATACAGGCACCCATGTTGTGTGTGTGTGTGTGTGTGTGTGTGTGTGTGTGTGGTCAGATGGAGGCTCCTGCATGTATGAGATACAGCTGAGTGTGAGCATGGGGCCAGTCTCAGTAGGCACTGCCCTCCCGGGGGCTGTAGGGGCCTGGGCCTCACAGGAAGTTGGGCTCCCGCACCACGAGGCAGGGCGGGTCCCCGCCGCCCCCGCCGCCGTCCAGGGGCCGGTACACGAAGTGGAAGTCGCGCTTGGGCTCGCTGCGCAGCAGGTAGCCCTTGATGTGGTGCGGCAGCGCCTCGTCGGCCAGCTGGAAGCAGCGCCCGTCCACCAGCACGAAGAGCCGGTGGTCCTGCGGCTGCGGCACCTCGAACTTCTCCGCGCACTGCGCGCACAGCGCCGCCGCCGCCGTGTCCGCGCGCGAGGCCAGCGTCCGCGCCTGCTGCTCCGGCTCCAGGTACGACACGCAGATGAAGTCCTGCGGGGCGGGATGCAGGGGGCTCCGGGTCACCAGCTGGCCAGAAGGGCGCCCCGTCTCACCCCCTTCCCGCCCCCCACAGCTGGGACAGGGACGAGGAGCGGAGGGGCCTCGCACCAGACCTCGTCCCTCCCTGGGCCCCAGACGCCTCTCTGCAGAGAGAAGGGGTGGCAGGGGCGATCGTGCGGCTGGAGTCGGGGTGCCTATGGCCGACCCTGCTGGGTGACCTAGCAGTGGTCAGCAAACGCATCAGCCCACAGAGCCAACTATCAACGGCACAACGACTGACATTTCTTTGGAGAGCCGAAAACCGACTTCTGTGCACGGGCCACAAAGTTTCAAACGCACTGGACGTGCGCGCCTGCGCGTGGCATTTTGTGAAAGAGCCACACTCAAGGGGCCAAAGAGGGCCGGAAGAGCCTGGAGTGGGGACAAGCTGGAGACGGGGGTGGGAGGGAGGGAAGAGGCTTGGTGGAAGGGGGAGTGGAGCTGGGCCTGAAAGGTGGCGGGTTGGGCCAGGTGGAGAGGGGCAGGGCAGGGTGAGGCGAGGCTTTTGCATGTGGCTGGGGATGGGAGCACGCATATGTGCATGAACACACACGCGCACACGCACGCACATGCACACACATCAATGGCACCTACATCTTCCTCCACCAGCCTGGGAGGGAGGACCCTATGAGGGTGGAAGGATGGGCCCTCCAGTCCCTGCTCCCACTCGCTGTGTGACCCTGACCTCTCTGAGCCTCCATTTCAACTGTAAATGGGATAACATCAGCCCTTTCCCCATGGCTGCGAGGAAGCATGTACTACGAGCTCCGAGCCCGGAAGAGGGCTCTTTTTCCAGCCCCCGAGGGCAGGCAGAAAGGGGGACATGTGAGGCTGCCCCTGTGGGAGGATGGTGACAGGGATGCATACCAGGCGCCAGGCCCTGATTCAAGAGCGTCACTGGGATCGCCCTTTCTTCCCTGGGGAGCTCAGCCCACTCCTCCCCTGTCAGTGGGATGGTGTGTGGGCACAGTCCCTCCCCTGGCAGTGGGGATGGTGTGTGGGCACAGTCCCTCCCCTGGCAGTGGGATGGTGTGTGGGCACGGTCCCTCCCCTGGCAGTGGGATGGTGTGTGGGCACAGTCCCTCCCCTGGCAGTGGGGATGGTGGGTGGGCACCTCTCCTCCCCTGGCAGTGGGGATGGTGTGTGGGCACAGTCCCCCCCCTGGCAGTGGGATGGTGTGTGGGCCTGGCAGTGGGATGGTGTGTGGGCACAGTCCCCTCCCCTGGCAGTGGGGATGGTGTGTGGGCACAGTCCCTCCCCTGGCAGTGGGATGGTGTGTCAGCCTGGCAGTGGGATGGTGTGTGGGCACAGTCCCTCCCCTGGCAGTGGGGATGGTGGGTGGGCACCTCTCCTCCCCTGGCAGTGGGGATGGTGTGTGGGCACAGTCCCCCCCCCTGGCAGTGGGATGGTGTGTGGGCCTGGCAGTGGGATGGTGTGTGGGCACAGTCCCCTCCCCTGGCAGTGGGGATGGTGTGTGGGCACAGTCCCTCCCCTGGCAGTGGGATGGTGTGTCAGCCTGGCAGTGGGATGGTGTGTGGGCACAGTCCCTCCCCTGGCAGTGGGGATGGTGTGTGGGCCTGGCAGTGGGATGGTGTGTGGGCACAGTCCCTCCCCTGGCAGTGGGATGGTGTGTGGGCACAGTCCCCTCCCCTGGCAGTGGGATGGTGTGTGGGCACAGCCTCCTCCCCTGGCAGTGGGGATGGTGTGTGGGCCTGATCCCTCCCCTGGCAGTGGGATGGTGTGTGGGCCTGGCAGTGGGGATGGTGTGTGGGCACAGTCCCCTCCCGCCCCCCGTCCCCGTGGCACCTGCACGGAGGAGCGGGAGGCGCGGGCCTTGTTGAGCGTGCGCCGGCGCTCCCAGCGGTGGATGGAGTCCTGCACCTCCACGCTCAGCTGCCTGGTCACCGTGATCTTGTCGTAGTTCCTGATGTGCTCCAGGGCCCCGTAGGTGGTGGTCAGGTAGTAGGAACCTGCGGAGACCAGGGTGTGCAGGTTGGCTAGGCCCGCCCGGGCCCACCCACAAAGGGAGCCCCTCACTTTCGAGAAGGAGGAGGACTTTCATGGGGTTCCCTCCCACCCTCCCTCCCCCGGCCTCTCCCCCAGCCCTTCAGGCACCAGGAGAATGATTTTTGACATGAGGCTGATTCGCCTAGTGACCCGCCCAAACTCCTTCTTCTCTTTCCTCCTTACTAACCGACCTCTACCATTTTGAGGGAAGTAACAATCAGTTGAAAATGCTGACTGCCCTGACTTCCTTGCAACTCGGGGTAGAGAACAGGAGACCCCGTTCTGGCTATTTAGATGTAAGTGCAAGTCTGTCCCAGGTAGGGCAGACTCTTGGGTGGGGAGCACACAATACAGATGATGTATTAGAGAATTGTATACCTGAAACCTATGTAATTTTAACCAATGTCACCCCAATAAATCCAATTAAAAAATAAGAAATAGCCAAAACCAGTTTGGCTCAGCGGTAGAGCGTCGGTCTGCAGACTGAAGGGTCTCGGTTCAATTCCGGTCAAGGGCATGTACATTCATTGTGGGCACATCCCCGGTGGGGGGTGTGCAAGAGGCAGCAGGTCGATGTTTCTCTCTCATTGACGTTTCTAGCTCTCTATCTCTCTCCCTTCCTCTCTGTAAAAAATCAATAAAATATATATATTTTTTTAAAAGTAAGAAATAGTAGCTTCTACTAATCCTATATAATAAAAGGCTAATATGCAAATCAACCCAACGGCGGAACAACCAGTCACTGTGACGTGCACCGACCACCAGGGGGCAGACGCTCAATGCAAGAGCTGTCCCCTGGTGGTCAGTGCACTCCCATAAGGGGAGCGCCACTCAGTCAGAAGCCAGGCTCAGAGCTGGTGAGCCCCAAGGACCCCTAAGCACTAAGCCGGGCTCACAGTTCCGCAGCAGTACTCAGGACCCCTCAGGAGATGTCCGCCAAGGGGTCCCGGACTGAGAGAGGGTGCAGGCCGGGTTGAAGGACCCCCACCTCAGTGCACGAATGTCGTGCACTGGGCCTCTAGTTCATATATATTAAAAGGAGCAGACTCAGCTGATATGCCCCTTTGGGTTTTGCCGTTCCCTTCTTCGGGCCTGAGCACAGAAGTAAGCCCCGAGGCTCAGCAGCAGTTTAGTGACAGGGTGAGGGGTACACAGACAGAGCCTCACACCCTAAGAACAAGGGAGAGCGCTGGGTGCATGCTCTCCTGAGGACAAGGCTAAAAACCGCCGTCACGAACAGTTGCATGTCCCCCACAACTTCTTGGTGCAGGAGAGGGACAGCCCTGCACACTGATTTAAACCACGATCAGCTGCATCGTGAGTTATTGGCAGTTTAAAGCATCCTTAACTTCCCCTGAATCCGTGGTCGGCCTGTGGTCCGCATCCGTGGTCCGCATCAGTCCACGGAGCCAAATACCAACAGTGCAACGATTGAAACTTCTTTTGAGAGCCACGTCTTTTCAACGTACACTTCTTCTAACGCCACTTCCTCAAAATAGACTCTCCCAGGCCGTGGTGTTTTGTGGAAGAGCCACACTCAAGGGGTCAAAGAGCCGCATGTGGCTCGCGAGCCTCAGTTTGCCGACCACAGCCCTGGATGAAGCTACATTTACCTACAAACTCTACAACCAACATGAGAGAAGGCCACGCCCCGGCTGGGTTGGACGGAGGTTATAATAAAGGGGTTCATGGCCACAGAATCACACACCCTGTCATAGTAGGAAAGAGACATTAAAAAGGAATAAGTGTGCTGAGGCCCGTGTAGAACTTGGCCTGGCGTTCCGTGTCGGAGAAGGGCCAGTGAACCACCCGTGCGTCTCCTTTTTTAGGGGAGCAGGAAGCCTGCGTGTGCCTGGAAGTCTTCCCTGGTGCCTCCAGCCCTCGCTGCCCGGGAGTCTCTGTCCTCCTGTTTCCCATGCCTGATCGCGTCTCCCTGGCTGGGACCCGAGTGCGGTGGGCTGATCGAGAACACAGTTCTGGAGTCAGAGCAGGATCTAGGGCTCTGCCCTGTGATCTCCGGTGAGTTAGTGTCCACGCTGCACCTGTTTCCTCATCTGCCAATCCCATAATATCCGTGTGGGGACTATACGGACAGTGCTCAGTAATGAGGTGACCTAAGAGAGGTGCTCTGGGGCTTCTCACCCTCTCAGGAGAAGGGGAGGGAACCCCAAGTCCTGCAGCGCACTCCTCTTGCTCATGTCCTGATTTTTTTTTCACAGTCCAGGAGACAGATCCTTCAGGCCACTTCCCTTTGACCTGAGGCTGTGCTGTGCCACCGCGGGCCACTAGGTGGCAGGCGACTCCAACCACAGTGAGGTTTGCAGCTGGTGATTCTCTTTGGGGAGAAAGTGATTCCCATGGACAGGTAAAACTCACTGCCCCTATTAAGATATTAGCCCATGATGGCCAACTGTCAGCCAGCGTGGAGAGTGGACATGGGGGAATGAGTCCAGGAGGCTGCTTCTGGGAGCAGTTTGGAATTGGAGCTGTCCATCCCACAGTGGCAGAATGGTGGGAGCTGCAGGAAGAGGCTAGCAGGGGGCTGGAGCACCATCAGCCTAAGGCTTAGGACCTCTCTACTTTGCATCTCCCCATCCTGATCTACCCTGACCTCTCACATCGATAGATAGGCTTGCTTCAGAGAAAACGGGACCCCGTCACTTGTTCTTTGCCAAGCTACCGCAGGTGGAACACGATGGTCCCACAGGGCCCAGACCCCGGAGCCCAGCTTGCGGGTTTTCTGTTGAACACAGAGCCGTGTGCTACTATAATATGAACCGTGAAACAAGAGGAGGCAGAGCCCAGCTCCTCCGCTCTCTCTGCCTCTGGCTATCTCTGCAGAACACAAAACGGCTCAGACAGTGGAAAACCCCAAATCCTGCCCAATGCCTTCACTTTGCCGAGCCAGAGAGGTCAAACCACTTGGCCCAGGTCTCCAGCCAATCAGAGGCAGAAACAGGACCGAAATCCAGCCTCCACATCGCTCTTTTTACTACATCCTGTGCTACTTCTCCTCTCAGGTTCTAGCAACTAAAGTGCTCAAGACTGGGGACTCCCCAAGGCCACCTATGTCCCAAACATCTCTGAGCTCTGTGCGGACCAAGGGCAGGGACCGTTGGCACCCTCTTTACCTGCACTCAGGGGCTTTAGCGATGGGGCACCCTTGTACCTTGCATCCTGGGACCCTGCACTCTGCAAGCCCTGTACGTATATTCACCCTCTATTCACCCTACCCCACCCAGCTAGGACGTGAGGGTGAAGCGGGAGAAACACAGTGCCTGTCCCTCATCCTTGGGCCCAGATACTTCCAGATGGGGGTCTGACAGCTGGCAGACTTGAAGGTTGGGAGCCTCTGCCCAAGCTGGAGACTCCCCAAGTCATCTCACAACAGGAGACTAATAGGCGCTGAGGCCTGGCCTGGGTGCTGTGACCTCCCACCCTGGCTATCGGCCTAGGATCACAGATGCAGGTGTGTGCAGCATGGTGTGACATTTGTCCCCCGGCAGGGCAGCTGGGAGGGGCAAGTGTAGCAGCCTGGCTAGGTTTGTCCCACTTAATTGCTATTCCAGCAAACACCCCACAGATCCCTTTGAAATCCCCTCACAGGGTCAGAAGTGGGATGAGGGTTTTTTGGCTACTTAAGTCTGAAAGAGGGCAGGCTGCAGGGGATTGAGGCAGCCTTGGGCTAGAAACGATAAACCATTTAAGACCTTTATGTATTTATTTATACTTTCATTTTTCCACTGGAACCCACAAGCTTCAGGAACAGGAAGGAGAACGCAGGAGGCCATGGCAGGAATGGGGTGGGGGTGAGGTCCATAAGGAGGGAGTAGTTGGGCCAAGGATGTCCCTGCTCAGCCCCTGTGCCTGGCGTGGAGGACCATTTAGGAGTCCTGGTGGCCAGGGTGGGCTGACCACCCACAGAGCCTCCCAGCCTCACGCCATCTTTTGTCTCTAAGACTCCATAACAGCCCTGGGGGCTTGGGGTCAATCCTTTCACAGGATTTGTAAATGGTTTCTTCCCAGGAAGACGAGCAACATATGCACACTGTGGGAAATTCGAAAAACAAAAAAAGCAAGAGAAGATTCTGTGTTCAGTGACTCTATTGGTCATGTGAGCCTTGTCCTGCCCGACCGTCCTATCCCACCAGCCTTCTTCCTGTCTTCTCCACATCTACCAGATGTGACAGAGCAGAATAAGGCATCCATTCATTTCCACGAGACTATCAGCCTCACCTGTCTTGCCTGCACCGCAACCCACGTGCCTGGCAGGGGCCCTAAGCACACAGAGGGCTCATAGAGTAGCTGCTAGATGAACGAATGAATGGGTGGATGGATGGATGGGTGGGTGGGTGGATGGATGGATGAATGAATGGAGGGATTGATGGGTAGGCATCTAGGTAGATAGATGGATGGGTGCGTAGGTGGATAGATGGGTGGATGGATGGATGGATAGGTAGATGGATGGATAGAGGGGTGAATAGATGAATGGGCTGATGGATGGATAGATGGGTGAATATATGGGTAGATGGGTAGGTAGGTATCTGGGCAGATAGACAGAGGGTGGGTAGGTGGATAGATGGGTCAATGGATAGATGGATGGATGAGTAGATGGCTAGGCTGGTAGATGGCTAGATGGGTGAATATATAGGTAGATGGGTGATGGGTATATGGGTAAGTAGGTATCTGGGTAGATAGACAGAAGGGTGGGTAGATGGATAGATGGTTTGATGGATGAACAGGTGGGAGGATGGGTGTGTGGGTAGACAGATGGGTGAGTGGATGGGTGAGTGGGTGGATAGATGGGTGGATAGATGGGGGTGGATGGGTGAGTGGGTAAATAGATGGGTGGATAAATGGGAGGTAGATGGATGGATGGATGGATGGGTGGGTGGGTGAGTGGGTGGATAGATGGGTGGATAGATGGGGGTGGATGGGTGAGTGGGTAAATAGATGGGTGGATGGATGGGAGGTAGATGGATGGATGGATGGATGGGTGGGTGGGTGAGTGGGTGGATAGATGGGTGGATGGATGGGGGATAGATGGATAGATAGATGGATGGGTGGATGAATGGGTGAGTGGATAGATGATGGGTGGATAGATGGGGGTGGGTGGATGGGTGGGTAGGTGGATGGGTGAGTGAGCGGATAGATGGGTGGATGGATGGATGTGCTGGGTAGCTGATAATCACTGTTGAAGAAGTCTGGCTTCTACTGAATTCCTACACCCCAAGAAGTTTTAACTATGGAGGAGAGAAAAATAGATCTCATGGTTCCAGGGCACAAACCAAAGTCATATGTGACAGTAAACTTCATGCTTTACACGCTCCTCTGACCTTCCAAGAAATCACAGAAGCTGTTGCTCAGAGACGAGGACCAATGTTTGCTAAAAATGCAAACAGATGCAAAGAGGGCCAGCTTAGCATAAAACCACAAAGCCCAAAGGGGCCACTTGGGGCCTGAAAGCCTTGTCTTAGAGGACAATTCTGGGTCCCTCGGAGCTGATACTGGGCGGGCTGCACCTCTGGGATTCTTGGTGGAGGCGTGGCTGAGGCTGAGAGGGTGGGAGGAAAGGGAGGGAGGGAGAAAGGGGAAGGAAAACTGGGGGTGGGCGGAGCAGACCACAGCCCTGTTACTTACTCATAGCCTTAACCTCCGCCCACTGAGGACCTGGCCCAGGGCTGGCTGAGCAGGGGGCTGAGAGCCCACAGGGGCTGAGAAATGACCATCGTTCCCGCTCAGAATCCCCATGGCCCCTGCCCGTGGCGCAGCCTTCTCTCTCACACTTCTAGCAACTGCTGCTTCCCCTGCTGTTTTCTTGTTAATCCTCACCAGAGGATATTTTTTCCATTGATCTTTAGAAAGTGGAAGGCAGGGGTAGAGACACAGAGAGAAAAACATCTATATGAGAGAAACGCATCGATTGGTTGCCTCCCGCGCACTCCCCAACCAGGGCCGGGGATGGGGCCTGCCACCGAGGTATGTGCCCTTCATCAAAATCAAAATCCCACGACCTTCAGTCTTTGGGCTGACGCTCTAACCATTGAGCAAACCCAGCTAGGGCCATTTCCCATTCTTTATCTGGCTGGTTCCTAGTCAATCTTCCGTGCTCAGCTCAGGTGTGGCCTCCTCCAGGGAGCCTTCTCTGACTGCACGGCCTGGGTAAACAAGCTCCCATACCCTCTGGGCTTCTCCCCATCTCATCACATGTCCAGCAGCAGTGACATGGTCCCTTGATTGGCCCAGCTCCCCTGCTCGTCTGTGAGCTCCGCCAGCACAGGGTCTGTGTCGGATTCTATGCTGGGTCCCCAAAGCTCAGTGGAGTCTGACACCTGGGAGGTGCTCATTGGGCTGCCCCGTGTACCCCCGGCCGGGCCGGGTTGGGGGCGTGCCATAGGCCCCCGGGGCCTAGAGACCGCCTCGGAGTGACTCACCCTCTCCCAGCTGCAGGGCGGGGTCCATGAGCTCCATCATGTACTCCACGTTGAGAAGCATCTCGGTGAGGTTGCTGCGGGCCAGCACGTACATGAGCACGGGCAGGAAGTCATCTGCCCCGTAGGGCTTCCCTGCGAGGAGGAAGGAGGCGGAAGGTGGTGAGTGAGAGGCTCTCCCTGTGAGCAGCCCCCTGCCCAGGCGAAGGGGCCAGTGGCTTTCTGGGCAGCTGGTAGTCACCACTAGAAGGGGAACCGTCCTGCTTGCTTACGACTCTCAGGACCAGGGCGGCCCTGGAGCCAGACTTCATGGGGTGGCCTGTGACACAGTCTGGGCTTGGGAAGAAGGAACCGAGAAAAGTGCCCTCTGAAGGTGCTCAGTCCCTTCCTCTTTCCCGGCTCTCCCCCTCAATGCCACTTGCTGCCTAACTGACAGTCAAGTTCACACCACGCTTATCCACAGGCCCACCCAGAAGCACCTGTCTGCCTGACATTGATGTCTTCTGCGAAGGCTCCCTGTCCCTTTATTATTTTTTTAAATTCTTTATTGTTGAAAGTATTACATAGTATGTCTCCTTTTTCCCCTACTGACCTCTCCCCAGCCATTCCCACCCCCAGCACACGCCCTCTCCCCTCTACTGTCTGTGTCCATAGGTTATGCTTATATGCATGCTTACAAGTCCTTTGGTTGATCTTTAACCACCCTCCCCTCCCCTGCCCCCCACCTTCCCTCTGGAACCACACATTTCCCTCCATCTGCAACACAGAAAGCCCTCCCTCAATCAACGCTATCAGGTCGGCAATCCCACATTCAACATTCCTTCCTTGGGCTGAAGTGGCGCCCTTTCCAGAGGGTTTCCTTTACAAGGGAGAGCGCCTCCCTGCTGCTTTTGTGGGTCAGATGTTAAGATGAGTAATCATTTAATTCAATATTTAAAAAAAATAAAATGAGTGCACAAAAATGTATAATGAGCCCAAACCGGTATGGCTCAGTGGATAGAGCATCGGCCCGTGGCCTGAAAGGTCCCAGGTTCGATTCCAATCAAGGGTATGTACCTTGGTTGCGGGCAGATCCCCAGTGGGGGATGTGTAAGAGGCAGCTGATGGATGATTCTCTCTCATTGATGTTTCTCTCTATCCCTCTCTCTTCTTCTCTGTAAAAAAAATCAATAAAATATATTTTTTTAAAAATGTGTAATGAACAAAACATCAACCTCTTCCCAGGAACGAGGCACATTTCACAGTTAGCTGTGTATGTGCACATCATTCCTTACAACGATCAACACAGTGGGTATTTTGCCCGAAGAAGAGACCGAGGCTCAGAGAGCGTAAGTGGCTCTCCCTTGGCCAACGTATTATGAAGCCATGAGAGGGACAGTGAGTGGTGTAGAGCTAGGCCTCTGGCCCTGGGCCCAGGTTCAAATCCCAGCTCTCCCACTCACTAGCTGCAAACCCGGGGCGTTCCTGCCCTCCTCTAACCTTGGCAGAGAGGCTGGAGAATGAGGTGGAGATTTGAGAATTAAATGAAAACCATGTTAGCAGTCAGTGCTTTATTGAGCCATATTGGGGTCTCTGGCAACAGGAAAATGTGTGCGCCTACAGCTACTTATCAAAATATCCCCTCATATTTTGAACCCAAGTGGAAGAAGTTAATGAAAAAACATGACTGCATGTCAAACCCGGGTTAGAAAGCTGACTGTATGCCGTTGTCAGCCCCCATAAACTTAGGAAGTCCCCAGCTGATTGGAAATGACTGTTTCTGTTGTATAATCACTCCGGGCCACAAAACAGACAACACCCTGCCTTGGCTTAAAAAGGTGGATGTTTTGTTCTTTACGGATTTTTGTGCACTGATTTTTATTTTTTAAAAATAACGAATTAAACGATTACTCATCTTAACGCTTGACCCAGGAATTCCACTCCTGGTCACACACCCGAGAGAAATGTTCACACACAAGAGTTGTACTCACACATTCATAGCAACATCATTCATAAAAGCCCAAAGGCAGAAAACAGCAAAAATATTTATCGGCTGGTGAACGAACAGACAAAATATAGTCGATGCAGACAATGGGACACCAGTTGGCAATAAATAGAACACATTACTGGTACATGCTCTGACACCAATTAACCTTGAGATCATTATGCTACATGAAAGGAGCCATCCCCGAAGACTTCATGTTGCACATACTGTATGATTCCATTTTTATGGAACTAGAGGCCCGCCCGGTTCATGAAATTCATGGGGAGGGGGACATGCAGGGGGGGAGTGGTGGGGTGCCTCTCAGCCCTGCCTGCACTCTCTCTAATCTGGGACCCCTCAGGGGATGTCTGACTGCCAGTTTAGGCCTGATCCCTGTGGCAGTTGGACATCCCTCTCACAATCCAGGACCACTGGCTCCTAACCACTCACCTGCCTGACTGCTAATGCCCCCAATTGCCCTCTCCTGCTGGCCTGGTCACCCCCAACTTCCCTCCCCTGCTGGCCTGGTCGCCCTAACTGCCCTCCCCTGCTGGCCTGGTCACTCCCAACTTCCCTCCCCTGCTGGCCTGGTCGCCCCAACTGCCCTCCCCTGCTGGCCTGGTCACCCCCAACTTCCCTCCCCTGCCAGCCTGATCACCCCTAACTGCCCTCCCACCATCATGGCTTTGTGGGGAAGAAAGTTGGATGTCCTGAAGATGGCTGGTCGGCCAGGTCTAATTAGCATATTATCTATTTTTTAGTATAGATGTCCAGGATAAACCCAGGATAAGCAAATCCAGGGAGACAGAAGTAGACTAGTGGTTGCCAAGCACTGGAGGGGGGGGAAGAGGAGATGAGGAATGGCTACTAATGGGAACAGAGTTTCTTTTGAAAAAAATACAGCTCAGTGTTTACTATCCCAGCCCCTCTGGGGACATTCTGTCCCCACAGCCCTCATGAGGGTCTCTGGATCACACCCCGAGAAGCATGAACCAGCACTGCCTCAGTGGGCTCTGAGTGGGCATGGGTGTCTCTATATTTCCACTCCTCCTTGCTTGCTTTCAGAGAAAGGTGTGCCTGTGGCCTGTCTTCCTGGCTGCACTCAGCTTATTTTTTGGCCACACTCAGTTTTTACATCTGCAACATGGGGCCAGCACCACAGGCCCTGATGGTCTTTCAGGTTTTCAAGAGACTAACATGAGGAAAATAACATAAACGTGATATAGAATCCACCCAGTGCTATGGGAAGGTGAGCCTTTACTGACTCCCATGCTTTGTTCGCTTGACATATGCTGAAATGGTGAGAAGCCCAGAGGGTATGGGAGCTTTCTACCTATAAGATGAATGGGCTGAAGGGGTTGGGAACACAGCACTGAACGGCAGAGTCAGGCAGAGCCACGGGGAGTCCCAGCACACTGCTGCTGAGCTGTGTGACCTTGGGCCAATTGCTTTACTTCTCTGAGCCCTGCGTCTCCAGTCTGAGGTGAACTGACCCAGAGAACATGCTATCCCATGGGATTAGGCTGAGAACACCATCTTCTGGGGGTGTTATACCGAGGAACACCGTCAGGCACGCTCATTTGCTTTCGAGCGGTGGCTGTCAAGCGGGGGGCCTTGACCCTTGAGGGGCCGTGTGACAGCATCTGGAGTCGCTTATTTGTTGTCACCACAAGAGTGATGGTCCCCCGGGCACCGAGGCCATGGATACTGCTACACATCTTAGGGTGCACAGGACAGCCCCCGCAACACAGAACTACTCATCCCTTAACTGTCTCTAGTGCCAACATGGGAAATCCTGCTTGAGGGACAGTGACTTTCAGCCAAAAGGGTCCAGCTTGGGCCTGGGTTTGAGGACTTACAGACGGGGGGGGGGGGGGGGGGGGGGGGGGAAGGAAGCTCTCTAGCCTGTGGCTCTGTGCTCTGCGGGATTGGAGAGTTCTTTGCCCTTTCTTTTTCTTCTCTTCTTGAGAATCTTGGCTGACATGGTGCATCAAGAGGCGGGTTTGGGGGCGCATCTCCTTGATTCCCACCATACTGAATTCAGCCACCCGCTGCAGGGGACTCCACCTACCCATGAGCCACTCTCTGTCTCCTCAGTACACAGAGCATGGCACAGTGCTGGGCATGGCACAGTGCTGGAGGAATGAATGAGTGAATGAATGAGTGAATGAATGGGTGATGGATGACTGCTGAGCTCCCAGCAAGGCCTCAGAGCTAGTGGCTTGGCAACAACTCAGATAAGTCTGCAGAGACTCCACGATTCCTTCCCCATCAGGGGCCAGGCCAGAGTGTGCATCATCTTTTCCTGGAAACCAGCCCTTGCTGAGGCCTCCCCTTTCCACCAAGGAATCCATCCTCCCCTCCTCCCTAAGTGCTGAGCTGGAAGGCCTGGGACTCCCCCTTTTCTTCCGGGGCTCGCTCTTCCCTGTGGCCAGCCTGACCAGAGCCCAGGTCTCTGCCTTCTGACTGCCTCCTGAGCTCAGCCTTTGCTTTACCCAGCCCCACTCTCCAGGCCTGCCTCCCAGCAGGCTCCGTGTCCTACCATCTACTCTTTCTTCCAGCTCATCTCGAGTGACAGCTCTGATCAGGCTACGTCTCTTCATGAGAGCCACCAATGGCTCCCCACTGGCCTAGGGAATCAGGTCCAGATCCTTTACCCTGACGCTCAAGGCCTTCCGCAACGGGGCCACAGACCCCCGTCCCACGCGACTGACCCTCCTCTCCTCCAGCCACATGGCCCAGTCGATGGCCTCAGAGCAAGTCACCTGCATTCCTGCCCCTTGGTCTTCACCACACTCACCCACCTGGCAAGCCCTCCCCTTTCCTTCCAAAGGCCGTGCCTCCGTCTCCCACACAGCAGCGACATTGGTGTGCGTCTTTAAAGAAGCAGCGCGTGTTTTGTAAACAGTATACCAGTGAACTCCACTTATAGCCACATCCTTTCTCTAGGAAGTCTTACCAAAGACCCCACTCCCCACCAACTAGGTCAAGCATGTCAAACTCGAGGTCAGTGGGCCGCATGCTTCACAAATGAACGAAATGAATGAAAAAACAAATATTATACACAAACTAGAGGCCCAGTGGATGACATTCATGCACGAGGGTGGAGGAGGGGAGTCCCTCAGCCTGGCCTATGCCCTCTCACTGTCTGGGACCCCTCAGGGGATGTCCA